CGCTGCCCGGGCTCCCCTTACGGCCCTGGCTTTCCTCCGCGCCACCCCCGGGGGCTCCGCGGGAGGGGCCGGCGAGGAGAGGGAGCGGGTAAACCGCGAGAAGCTTAAGCCCCTGGCACATGCCTCAGAGCTGGGAAGGGTCTCCCCGGCAGGGCCCCGGCGTAACCTATTGGAAGTCAGAGGGGGACAGCCGGCATCTGCAGCCCTGAGCTTTTGGTCTAGGCTCGCCTTCGGTCCTTATGGTTGTCCAGGGCTGTCCTATACCCTCACCGCATAACCCAGGCAAAGGGATCACCTCAGCCACAAACCAGGCTGCAGGCATGCTCAGAGGCTTTTCTCTCTCCTTCCCAGCAGCCTGCCCCACACCCGAGTGGCATCTTTCTCCTAAAGCCCCACAGGAACTAGAGGATGTTTCTTTGCCAGCCCCTGGAGCAAGTGCCAGACACACATGTTGCAGGAAATAAACCCTTTCCCCGCAACCTCTCAGGGTTTTCTAGACTTCCTCTGTTGCAGATTATGCACAGTCTCTTCTCTGTCTCCTCACAGAATCAAAATTAGTGGCCCCTGAAGAGTTTGGGGAAAGTGTGTAGCATTTCTTCCTTCCCACTTTGAGATGGGCCTGCTATCATCCCACTGTTGTTTCTGTGGACTGCAGGAATATGATAGGAATTGGCAATCACCAGTAAAGTTACAGATGAAAATGCAACCGCAAGTGCCTTCAAGGAGTTTAACTATGTAGAGGCAAGCAAGGGAAGTGAAGTAATGAAGTCTTAAGAAGGAAAACAAAACACCTTGAAAATATGTCTAGTGTATTATTCTTGATGCACTGTGACATGTCTCCCACCTCCAGTCTTAATCGAGAAGATAGGTAGAGATTTAAATTATTTGGAGGTACTTTCTAGGAAAGAAGCTGCTAGAGTGAGAGGATCTAAAACGGCTGCCAGTGCTTACTTAGACTCTTGTTCATGACTGGTTTTAAAGCAGCATCTCCCTGAAATGAGAGTCATGATCCCACCTGAACTCAGCTCTCATTTCCATGTGCAGTCTGAATACCTCTGGTAAAGTTCTGATGGGATGCAGCAGAAAAAGACATATGATTTGTGCTTCTTTGCTATCAGCAATTCAGCACCACTGCAGCGTTTCAGCTCTGAAATATCAACGATGTATATTTGGAGATGATGCCTCCTTTGAGAATGGCTTTGTAACAGCGGTATTAAAACCACTTGTCATGAATCTGATGGAGAAAAAACTGCCCCGCAAATCCTCTTGAGGTTTTTTAAATCTCATTGATTGAATTATTAAAAAAAATAATCCAGTTTTTAAAAAATGCAACTCAATAACAGAGAAGTAATGGTTGTCTATTCAAAATTTCTAAGTTTCCTCTACTTTTGCAATTAGTTGTATGAGCTCTTTATAGAAAATCCTCAGGGTCTAGGTTTCAAAATTATTTTTATATAGAAATTGTGCCTAGAGCACTTGCAATTTGTGAGGTCATGCTAAGTGATTCATGGCTAATCCTTGGGGATGTATTTGCTGTAGAACAGTTTCAATTAGAAGTTTCATTAAAATCTCAAATAGTGGTCTTTGAGCAATGTGAGGGTTGCTGATGCTCTGTGATTAAATTTTTATACTTGTATCAGGGTTTTTATGTTAATATAGAGTGTCTATCAAGTCTTCTGGACATCTGAGGTATTTTAAAAGACACTAGTGTCATTTTAGAGAGAAAGAGAGGGAGAGAAAGAAGGTTGCTCTGATGTGTGTATCACATCCCATGAATAAGCAAGGTGGTGCCTCTCATTCTCCATTGCTTTGCACCTCACAAAAGTATTGACATTTATGCAAAAATGTTGCAAAATGAAGTAATATCCCCCAGGCAATTTCAGGTTGAAGCAATATATGATTACTGCTGTAGGTTCTACCATTGAGGTTATCTTTTCTCCTAAAAACTTCATCTCAGTTTAACTGTCATAGATTTTCTCCAGTGAGAGGCATCAAACAGATTTGGTTTCTAAGATACCAAAAGATACATCTTCAAATCAACATTTTACAGTTTGTGCAAAAAAAGCTGCACAAAGGAAAATAGTCTTTTGTGAAAATAGCTCTAGCTGTGATTTCTGGGCAAACTGCAGTTTCACCACGTTTGTATTAATATGCTCTTAAAAGTAACCTACCTCTAAAGGAAAGAAGTCGCAACTCTTGGGGTAGTACTGTTTTTTAAAAAACGTCATTAAAGTTGCAGGGAAATTCAGATTAATTTATGCAATGTATTTGTGTGCTTGTGATAATCCATCTTAAATTCAAGGAGTGAGCTCTTAATTCTAAGCCTTGTAATACATTAAACTCTGAAATTCAGGCACTGAGAATATAATAATTTATTAATAGGATAAAATGATCATGAAGCATTAACAGATCTAAATTTTTAATACTCTTATTAGCCTTTGTGCCAGAGATGAATCAGTTGTCTTGATGTATTAATAAAATGATACTGCAGATGTTTGCTCTTTGTAAAAGTGTATTGTAAACTCATCAGAGTAGGTTTATTAAAATACATGATATAAAATACTACTCTGATAACTGTATTAACTTTTAGAGTATAACTTTTTGAAGAAATTGTGAGAAGACAATTTCTGAATCATTCTCAGTCATGACCCATTCACAGATGCTCAATAATTGTTTATGGGAGCACCCTGTTGCAAAACCAGTCTAAGGCTGAGTAGGTCCAAAGCCAGCTGAGACATCTAAAACTTCTTCAGATGACTGTGGAGCTTTACCTAGAATGTAAATTCATGTTTTAGTTATGTAGAATAACATGTGTTTGTTTTATTTGTTATTGCAGTTCTAGAAAGGTTGAAGAGGATGAATATGAAGATGGAACAACTAACCAAAAATGGGTTTTAGCTCCAAAAACACAAGACACAGATGTGACTCTCATCCTAAATAAGCTGTTGAGAGAGTACGACAAAAAGCTACGGCCAGATATTGGAAGTAAGTACTTCTTTCTGCACAGGTGAGGATAAGCTCTCTGGGCACAGAGAAGACATGGTGTATTTTGGATGTGTGCACAAACATCTGGGAAAGCGGAGATAAAGGTTTTTTTGGCTGAAGTTCATTTCCAAGTCACTATTTTAAAAATACTAATTCTCATGAGAAGATCTGGTGATAACTTAGGATCCTAAAATCTGGTTTTCTTGTACAGAGTTTGTGTAGAGAGATGGAAGGGTTAGCTCTAAAGTATTCAGCAGGTCTTTGGCAGAGGAAGGAACATACTTACCTCTTTTGTCATCCAGTCCCTGCATCTGAAAAACTCACACTCTGAGAAGCAAACAAAACCTCAGCATACTAAAAACCAAAAGTATGACACAGCAAGTGAAGAATGTGCATCTACTCTCTTCAAAATGTGATCACAAAAGTTATGTTCCTTAATGCTGAGAAGAAAGCACCAGGATTTACCTGTGTATAGGGCAACTCCAGAGTTTTCTTACCCAAACCATCAGACACTTACAAAAGAAATTTTATACAATGGAAGAGTCTTGTGGTCAGTACTACTACATTTAAGTATAAAATTTAGATAAGAGCCAGTAGATATCTGCATATAACTACCTTGGGCTATTTTTTGTTTTAATTTGTGTAATGGCATTGTTTATTTTAAACCAGACATGTTTTTTGGTTTGGTTTTTTTTTTTTTTGGTTGTTTGGTTGGTTTGGTTTTGGTTTTTCATTTCTGTTGGTTTGGTTGGTTTGGTTGATTTTTTTTCTTTTTTAATGTTTCACCTTTTTTAGTTATGCCCTGTTTGCCTGGTTTGCAAAATGGCTGTAGCACAACTGTTGCTCAGCTTATTCGTAGCAAGTTTGCATGACAGAAATCAGAGAGCATTTGTCACTTATATTTACTGCACCTTGCATGTACTTCAGAATGCACTGAGAATGGAGAATACTCAAAACAATCACATAATATAATTTGCTTTTCCTAAATTTTTGCAAAGGTTAGAGGGAGAATTCCTATCACTGATTATGAGTGAATCTATTGTTAGCTGATAGCACATGTATTGATACACTTTCTAGATGATCCCTTTGGATCAGTTTAGAGGGAAGTGAGAGCCATCTGTATGCATTCACCATTACTGTTGTAAGTGTCTCATAGCTACACAATAATACAACAATTGCAGAAAAAAAGACCATGTTGTGTTATGAAAGAAAGTGTATGTTTGGTTCTTTTTCATAGCCATTGCTTTGATTTTGCCATAGAATTTACAAAAATTATATTTGGTACATGTTTCTGTTTTTATCACAAAGTGACATTTATTTCTCTACTTAGTTTGTCATACTGGATTCAGCTGATCTTTAATATCTAATGGAGAAATGCTTTAATGCACTTTCCCACCCATATCAACATCTGGAAGACAGTCTCAGGCAAAATATTTTATTTATTTTGTACACCACGTCCTCAGATCACTGACTTAAGGCAGAGGAAATTACATTATGCCTATGTGGGGCAAAGTAATCATTCAAAGTCCCCATGTCAGTTGCCATAAAATCAGTAGAGGTCAGACATATCTTACAGCACTGGAAAGTCATTTTTATCAAAATAATTCCTTTTGTCTCTCCACAAGATTTTGTAAATCCTGTTTTAGAGAAAGGAGTTAAATTACACAGCTCCTCACATATCAGAGATTTTACAGTTCTCAGCTACATCTATTTCTATCAAGCGTCTTGGTCCTAGGCTATTTTTCCTCTTTGATAGCAATCTGGCTATTTCAGAACTTGAGCTGAGTGTTGTTCGTATGCTCGAGTAGTTCACCTCTGCTTCCTTCCCTGGTTCCTCTTTTCACCTCTCCTACCAGTGATGCAGATAAATAACACTGCCCTTTTGAAGCTGGGAAGCTGTTGCATTAGGCAAGGGGAGCACAAGGGGAATACTAGAGAATCGGGTACTGCATCTAACTTCCCTGAATTGCTGGCTGGTGCAGCACACACAAGTGATCTTCCTTTCCATCTGGGAGACGGTTGTTCTCCGAACAGGATAGTTGACGTGTCCTGGCAACTGAACTGTGTTCCTGCCCTGAAGGTCCCAATATTAATATAAATAATTGAAAGCATAATATGTATCAGTTAGAGCACCAGGAAAAAAAGTAGTGAACCAGGTAACTTAGGCATATGATAAGAAAATTCATGTTTTGAAATTTATAGGAAGCATGGAAAGAAACAGTGGAAGAAGTGAGAAGTAATTCTCGGAATCAAGCAGTCAATAAAAGATACCGAGGGTTAAATCTAGGACTAACATGCAGTCAGCTACTCCTTTGTGCCTTTACATTTCCATGGTGCTGCCTGGAAGCAAATCAGCTGTCCCACAGGACAGGGGTACTCACTGTTTCATGCCACACTGCACTTTACTCAGCTTTCCAATCCTTTATTTCAAAACCACTGTTTCTGACAGTGGATAGCTTTAGCAATGGTCCTGAAGAAATGATTGTTGTCCTGAATGCAGTCAGAAAAGCCTAGGAAATATGAACTTCTTTGTACTTTCAAAGGTTGGGATTGCAATTTTTAGATCACTTGGGAACGCACTTTGCAAGCCAAAGGCCATGGAGAGAAGGGGAAGACTGAGGCAAATGGAAGGTACTGAAGTGCATGCTGGCCTAGGCAGTGACTTCGCTGCGGTTTTTCATCCTTCCCAGGGCAGCTGATGTTTTGGCTAACTCAGATATGTCCAGGTACTACCTGGCACTGTACAGGCACATTCTGAGTGCCTCCTTGCTGTAGACTTCAGCAATCACCTCCAGCCCAGCAGTACAGCCATCAGTGAATAAACTCCTGTGCACATTTAACTACTCTCTTTCCTCCTCCCTCACCCAAAAATATCTATACCACTGTTAAGAGTGTGTAGGTCACTGGTAGGCCAGGATTTACTCTCTTTTTTTTTTATGTTGGTCTATACTTAACCTCAGTTTTCATGTAAATGACTGTTGTGCAGATAATGTGCACAATCTACACTCAGCAGTTCAGGCATCACTTGCAAGGTTCCAAGCCAGGATTTTTAGAGAGTGGATTGAACAACCTAAATATTAGGCAAAACAGTTAACCTGTAAAGGCTATTATCAGTGTGCTACCTTAACGGGACCTGTCTAGCTAAAAGGGGCCTTTGATCTTTGGAAACAAAGCAGTGTTCTACCAGCAGGGGAATGCCTGAATGCATCCCCTGTGGCCACACACTTGGCAGAGTTCCTGTCTCCATAAATATGGCTTGTGAGGGTTTTCATTTCATTGGTGTCACCTGGCAGATTTCCATTATACCACAAAAAATACACACCTTTTGGAATCGAAAAAAAAAAAAAAGAAAGAAAGGAAATAAAAGAAAGCATCTCATACTGAACAGCTAATACCAGTGTACTGATTAGATCAAAAAGAAAAGTGTTTTATGATGTGAAGCATCTTTTTCACTGATATTTTTTTTTTTTTTCTACCAGCTACAATTATAGATCTGAGAATCTCAGGTCTGTTGCATGGTATAAAAGGCACCAATCCCACATAACAACTAAACCCATTCAGAACTGTAAAGGTCTTAACATCTCTTCCATAGGCAGGTATTCTCTATTTTGTTCCAAAGTGCTTTGAAGTGAAGACCTGTTCAATGGATATGCATAATTTTCTAAGTCCAGTAAGGCTTGCTATGCTGCAAGCATGTTTTTTTCCTCCATGTCACATTGATTTAAGTCCTAACATTTAGTAGGACCAAGTTCTGCCCCTGAAATTTTACTTCCTTATTATTAATAAAATAAAAATATTAGAAATATTAGGAAAAGCAACAGAGCACAACCTAGAATGATGGTAATTACAGCTAAAAAAATCTCAGTCTCATTTAGGTTCTACTGATAAACCAGATTTTTGTCATTGTTCTTTTTTTGATTGACTGATTTAAAATTAAATTTCCAAGAAAAAAAAAAAATCACACAAGCAAACAAAACCAACCAAACAAAAGAAAACTCATAAATGAAGCAAAATGCAGGTAAATTAAATACCACGTAACAAAACATATTTCCTTCAAAGTCAATTTACTTTAATGAAACCTTCCTTTTCACCTTCCTTAATGGACAGCTTAGTCTACAATGGAGTTCTGTAAAATAAATCTACCTTCAGAACCCGTTTCAACCTGAACTTCCCATGGAATGTAAGTTACCTTAAATAGAAAACTTGTAGCAGTGAAAGAAAGTGAAAGGTTTGCTAGTCAAGTTCCCTGAGTGAGCTTACATGTGGAATATGCTACTTTTTTATTTCATTGTGAAAGTCACCTTACCCATCAAAAAGATTAGTATGTGAGAGGTTTCTGAAATGTGCTATTAGTAGTGGGAGGAAAAAACTCTCACCCTAGATTAAGCTTAGAACTGCAGAGTAGTAAGGTAATTTGTGTTGCATGTTTGCATCTTCTGTTTCTCGAATGTCTAATTACATTAAGGAAGGCTCTGAAATGCACATGTTGAAGAAAACTTCATCAGCTTGTGTTCTGAGGTACTTTCACCACTAATGCCTGCTTTTCCTTCCTTTTTTTTCAATTATCCTGCAGTAACTCATGGGTTCCTCTTGGATCCTCTAAAATAATTTGATCCTTACAGCCTCTGGTGGTACCCTGTATTTATTGTTTATTTATAAGCCCAAATAAATTCACTTTGAAATATGTAATATTCTGATTGCACCAGTTCTAGCTGTCTTGAGAATCAAGCTGGTTTTCCTTGCTCCCCAAGTATCTTTGTAACTATTAGCCATATTTCTGAAGATGAGAACAGTCTCAGAAATCGCTGTGCAGCTCTCAGTAACCTGAGTAGTTTTTCATACGTGTAGCTGGTAGGAATAAATGGGCTCATTTGTATCAGCAAACATGGAAGACTAATTTCTGTCTGATGTGCTTTACTGTGCTGGTTTGGTAGCATTTAACAGCAGTTCTCTTTTAAGGCAGGTTAAAGTTTTCTCTGTAACTAGTTTAACCAGTTTCT